GCTTCGCCCTTTTTCTCTCCTGAAATTTCGTCAAGTTTTCTCGTGACACATCGAGAAGACATCGTCGCTCTTCAGTCAGCGTGGAATGCATCCACAGCACGTGCATTTTAAGACTGCAGAAGCCACTTCATCAAGTACGTATACTATCGGGAAAGAAACGTGCACAGCAGAAAGCGTTGTTTTCGACCAAGTCTTACGGCGGCTGCATTTCCGATGGAGGCGGAAATGTTGTAGACCCGTGTGCTCAGATTTGGGTGGACGTTAAAGAACCCCAGGTGGTCGAAATTTCCGGAGCGACATCCACTACGGCGTCTCTAATAATCATACGGTGATTTTGGGACGTTAAACCCCACATAACACCAATTCTTACGGCGGAATGCCTAAACTTGTGCTGTGAGCTGGCGTCACCATATAAGCGCCATAATCCCACTCCGGCTTTTGCTCATGCACCGCGTGTGTTCGTCATTTGCCAGTCATGCCTGGCATTCGGTACATAAACGCAGCTGGTGAGAAAGTGATATAGCCTGAGCATTGCAAGGTTTTATAGCGCTACGGCAACGCCGGCTGAATGCACAGATTTCCCAAACAGCGACAGTCAAGGCACGTCACAGTTCGAGTGAGTCGAAGTCCGCGCTTTCCGCTGTTCACGTTTCTTTTTGCCCTTACAGTTGTACCAAACATGCGCAGTGCGTGTCTGCACGCGTAGTTCGTACAATATCTTATTCTTGGCACATGACCTTTGAGAGCACGGCAATCGTTTGGTGCCGCATACTACAGGCATATACCGCACGCAAATTGCTAAACAGCCGGTGAAGCGCTTGAATAAACGCAACAAGTGGACTTACTCGTACATTCTACTCGTAGTTTTTTTTTTCAATTGATTGCAATGATCTACAGGCGGTGGAGCTCTGCATTTATCGTTGCGGGTGGAAATGTGTGCAATCTGAAAACACCACACGGGCACGGTTACCGCGTCGTTTTGGGATCCTCACAGAGATTGCTGAGTAATGTTTGCCTCTTGCGTTCATTCTTGGAAGCAATAACGGCATGAATAGACACTTTCTCTTGTTTCAAGGTCCCAAAGACGCCGCCCGCCTTGTTAACTTGGCACCGCAGCTACATGCTTTGGCAGTTCAAAAGATGGTGTCTGCGTGCGAGAATATGCCATCGGGAGGCTAAGCAGCTGGTTTCGAGATTGGCGCGCTCAGGTCTATAGAGTGCAAGAGAATGCGCAGAAATATCCACGGCTGCCTTCTTTAACAATAGGTGGCCGTTAACAGCCTGGTCCACTTTCGTTTGTTTGTTTGTTTGTTTGTTTGTTTGTTTGCAGCCTGGAATCCATGGCACATACCCACTCTAGGGGATTGGCCAAAAAAAACACATATTCTATGGATGATAACTGCACTATTGCTTACAAAACAAGGGAAAAAATGTGGAAGGAAGACAGTATATTAAAATAAAAACAAAGATTCAGATTTCTCAGTACGGCTGAGAAAAACGTTTTTTTTTTTTTTTGCTGCTGACAGTATGGCTTGCCCCAGTAATTTTTCGCCAGTGAGCTCGCGTCATCGAAATACGTTAAATTATCAAGTCTATATTGCGACTAAAATATGTATACAGCCCACTATCATAGGTATTCAGAGCTAAACTTTGGTTTTGGTTCTTGTTTATGTTGGCACATTTCCATTTGGGCTTGAAGTCTAAGAAGTTGAATGAATGGATAAATAAACTTTATTTGAAGTCCAACAGTTTCCTCCGGGCGAGGTGGGGGAAAAGGGGATTAAGCCCTGTCCCTTCCCACCCTTCGTCGATTATGATGGCGGTGCCTCAGGGGACAGCTCGAAGTCCTTGGATCCGGACGGCATCTTCGGCATGCCGGACGGCCCAAAGCTGGTCAGCCAGCTCGTAATCGCAGAGAATGAATAATGTGGCAATACTTTACAACAAAATTCGCACCATGCTCTCGCTTCAGTCGGTTCCGTCCTTTGTTGCATAACACGTATTCGCGCTACTATTTTTGTAGAGTGAGTGGTCCTTCGTGGCAAAAGGCACGCCATTGTGAGCTGTCAGCAGCATTTTTTTGTTCTCGGAAGTATTGAAATCCTTCAAAAAGCACTTCAGATCTTATTATTCCTCTTGCTCATTTTTGTGCGAATCTACTATAGATCACTTCTTTGTAAAAAAAAAAAGAAGAGGATCGGTGCTGAAATGTTCATTGCAGTTTTAAACGAACAAAAAAACTTACAAAAATCATCAAAATATTTTTGTATGGCTCTGTATTATCTTTTTAGCATATTCTTCGCCGTCGTTTTCTCCTATCGTTTTCTCTTTTTATTATTATTATTTTTTATTTCATTTCACAAATTCTACAGCTGCCCACCTCGTGGCCGATCACCTGTGGCGGGCTGTGCCATTCTTCCGCGAATCATCATAATCATCATCTAGCTACTTCAAATATACTCTCATGTAGCGAACTTTCATGTACTTTGATCCGCTCCTCCTAGATGAATTGGGCACACTCAAGCTATTTTAAGCACACATGGGGAAATATGTGAACATATAAGTAATCTCTGTGATGTGTTTGATTGGAACTAATAGCATCGTCAGAACCGCAGTCTTCTTTATGCCCTTTTGATTACTCTTTAAACTCCATGCGCTCTTGTACATGCCTAAGGCTTTCTTTCCAAGTTCGCAGCTCTGGGCAAGCCAGCTGGTGACACATATTCTCCACAACGTGTAAAATGAGCAGTTCATCGCGCTGCACCACCACTTTCATCACTTTTGAGTGCCCTGATCTAACGTTACATGTATGGGATTACTTGAATTTTTTTCGTATCAGTTATATAATTGACAACCTTCCAGTCTTTACTCGAGTTTTCTCAAATACTGGACATAAATTCATAGCTTTGCACGTTTTAAACTAGTGTCAAGTTTATTAGGACACATTTTAAACTACATATTACTAATACACAAGTTTTGTTTTCTATGATTATTATATTTCAAGTGACATTTTTTTCGATTAGTTTATTGTTAATAAAATTCTTTGAATAAGTTGTTCAATGACAAATGCCTACTTGTTGTCCCTACGCCATGTTAAAAATGCATGCATTATATTTTCGCAGTCGCCTTTAACGATGACCTAGTTCCTGATTTTGCCATTACTAAAATTGTTTGATTGTGTGTTCTTTAATGACAGCGTATAATCTATGATTTGTATGTCATTTTGTAACTCCGGCTTTTTCTTGTGTTTTTCTTCATTATGACTTTGTGTCAACAAATATTCGCTTTCATATGCCCTCCCTGCTATAATCTCTGATGAGATTGGCAGTATTGTTAAATAAATAAATAAATAAATATCTAAGTTCAGCCTGCTTTCGCTTTTTTTGTTATAAAGAAGTCGCATAATTTGTTTTTCGCCATAATTTTGATCAAGTTCGTAGGAGTAACCCACGATTTCTTGCTTTTTGTTTTTACTATTTCCGCTGAATCAGGTGACCAAAGCGTTAATGAGGACAGAATCAAATGGCTCGATAGCTTGCGAATCAACGTAACACACAAAGAAAATTGAGTGCGTGTAACGTCCGGTGACTTAATTGTGAGTTGAAGGCGAATTAAGGGGCTTAGGAAGAAGTCAATAATGAATCAAGTGACTTGGGTGTGAATCCACATATATTGAAGTTAATCAAGAATAATCATTATCAATAATAAAAGAACACGGTGGCTTTTATTGTGCCATTAAAAGACAAAGCGATTATTTTTAACACCGGATAGCAAACATGAGCTACCAGTATAGCGATCACTTTATTTAGTCAACAGTTAGCCCACACCTAGTGGCGGTTGTGTGAGTGTAAATACGGCAGTATTATCACCCCCGTATACGTTACCACAAGTCCATGTTGCGACAACTGTGGCAGCATAGAGACAGCGCAGCACATACTTCTACAATGCATCGCGTACCGCAATGAGAGACAACTGTTCGAACGAGAAATGGACATGATCTGCCACAAACAATGAACGTTGCGCAACATTTTAGGCCCTGTGCGCGGACCTTCCGAACATCGTCGGGTCAAACTATCATTGATCAATTACCTGTCCGATATAGGCCCTGTCGGAAGGCTCTAATAATACGACATCTCGCATAGGAAAGCCTTGATCTATATATAGCTGATACCCTATAATGTAAATAGTTTTATCTGGTTCACTTGGTCACAATTTTTTTTCGTGTTTTTCTTTTCTCTCTGCTGAAATCTTTCAGTCTCCTTCGCCATGCCTATACAGGGTAGCATGCCAGCGATATATAGACGCCGGCAAAAATCTATCTTTCCTAATCAAGAGTCTCTCTCTTTCTCTCTCTCCGTAAGTTACATAGAGAGTGTGGAACAGGTTTCTGAAACCGCTAGAATTGCACGCTTATATGCTTTCACGAGACAGATTACGCAAGAGATTACGCTAAACGCACGCCGATTCTCAAATACGTGGACGACCACCTGAGCATATTGTTGTTTTCGTACAGTGTATACAATGCTGGCCTGAGTATTCGAATATGCGCCGTCGCCATCTTATTCATTCACGGTCAATTCCACGGCCGGTTTATTCGCGCTACAAACGTAGTCGCGCGCGCACCCAAAACCGCTCGCGGCCGTCGTCTCGGTCTCTTGACTGACCCTGATCCACTGACACGTACGGAGGGCGGTTTCATAATCGTTCGCCGGAACCGCCAGCGCGATAATATGCACGCCGATGCAATCGGTAAACTCAACGATTACTATCGGGGTCACGCACGTTCCACTTCCCTCGTGGCAGCAGCCTTCGACCTTGCTGCATATACACTGATGCTCGGTATACTCTAGGCCAAGGAGGACGACGACTGATGAGAATCTTGGCCCAATCCCTCCAGAGTGGGTATGTGCCAGCGTTCGCAGGCAAGAAACAAACAAACAATCAGTGCATCTCGCTCACTCGCGCCGATCTCGCGCTGTGAGGGCCTCGGCCAAGGCCATTGCCAACGCAGTAGCGGCTACTCGACGGGCAAGGCAGCACCCCGGAAGAATAGCTCAACGCCGAGGGGTTGGCTGCGCAACGTGTATAGACGCGCAATCGCGCTTCGCCGCTGAGCCATGGAACTCATGTTCGCGCACGCCCGCTCGCTACGACTGTGGTGGAACTCGAGTCGGTTCCCGACATCCCTGCGCTCGGTAACGGGCGCCAAGCTGTGCCGCCTCGAAGACCTGGCTCCGGAGCAGCGCCACAACCCCCACATCCTGACGGGATACCGACGTTGTCGCAGCCGCTACGGGTGCCTCCGGAGCCTGCTGCGCTGGCACAACGAGACGGTGAACATCTGGAGCAACCTCCTGGCGCTCGCTTTCCTCCTCGCACTCCTGGTCGAAGACCACGCCGGTGGCCGCTTCGCCCGCCTGGGCGTGGGACTCGGGCAGCGAGCCCTGGTCACCGCCATGACGCTCTCGTACGCCGCCATGTTGCTACTGTCGTCCGTATACCACACGCTCAACTGCACGGGCGAGTCTCGCGCCTGGTACCGGCTCGACTTCGCCGGCGTCTGGCTCAGCGTCGTCGCCTACGTCGTGGGATTCACGGCGCTCCAGTTTCGCGGCTCCTGGCGCGTGGCGCACGTCGTGGGTGCCGTCGTAGCGGCCACCCCGTCGTTCGTGCTCGCCGCGTCGTCCCGGTACGCACACGATCGCTACGACGCGGCCAGAGTCCGAGCCATGGGATGGTTCTCGCTCTACAGCATGCTCCCGCTGGCGCACTACGCCCTTTTCTACGGCGACCCGGCGCTCGTGGCTCGCACGCTGCCCGGTCACGTGACCGTGCTGTTGCTCCTGTCCCTCTCGCTGTTCGTCTTCGTGACCAGGTTTCCCGAGCGGAGGTGGCCGGGCAGGATGGACTACCTGGGCTCGAGCCATCAGATCTGGCACGTGGGCGTCGGCCTCTGCGTACTCCTGGCTCACAGGACACAGTTAGCCTATTTGACGCCGCTCTAGCCAACTGCCTCTTCTACAAACGGTGTTTCTTGCCGTGTGTGTGTGCTGAGAGTGAGTTCGTGGTAGACCTTTTACGTTCTCCTGCACACGTGCGATCCCTGCTTACCTCGGCTGTTTGGCTTTAGTTTGGACGAAGGAGGCCCATTTTGCCTCGAAGCACAGCGCAGAAAGCGACAATGTTGACTCTCCCTCGATGACAACTGTATGACAGCGTTTAGATTGCAGTGTGGGTCGCGTTGGTCTTGTAACGAACATTTAGATGACGAACGTTAATTAGTTTCTAAATATATGTCTTTCAAATGATTGTTCAAGTAGTACTGTATCCAATGTTGACCTGTAGTTTAGCGACTAACTTCTGACTGGAGGTGCTGGAATGGCAGACTGGCTTCAAATCCCCAACTGCTATACATAGACCTTTTCACAGGTGGCTCCCTGAGCGCCACCATAAGCCTCCGTGTTGTGCCAAAGAGTCGGGAGTTCTATACTTTGCAGAGGATGTGACGTAAGCCTTTGTACTCCCGTGCCAAATCCCAGCATGACGGCGGTTTTTCTCTCCTGGGAGAAGATCTATAGAGTGAGTTATTCTCATATACCTCGTATAATTATATTGTGCCAACAATGTTTCCAATCGGTTCTGCGGATTTCTGTGAAGTGGCGGACGCGTTAAGGAAAAATTCGGCAGGCCCCACGCCTGGTGAAAATGTTTCATGCGAAGCAACCGGTGAGTATAATTGTATATGCCACATTTTCTTGCTTTGAGGTAGGCGTTATATGGTGTATATCGACGTTAAATTGTGGGATCAGCAGGAATTTCCCTACCATGGTGACAGCAGTGGATAGCGAGTGGTCTGGCGTGATGTCGGCACTTGCGTTGCCGCACAGACGTAAGTATTCTATATGCGTTTTACAGTGTGACCATGTGAACACCACGCAACATCGATAAAAACGCTCAATGTGCCTGCGGTTGGCTAAGAAACGCTTCGCATTTAAAACGAGAAACAAACCGCTACCATTTTGTTGCAAACCTTCCCACAGAAATTCATTAAAATTTGGCAGAAAAGAATGAACATAACGGCATAAGTCGAGTAAGCGTAGTACTCGATGAACATATGTAGAAATTTCATATATAGTCACATATTTAGAAAGCATGCAAATGTGAAAACTAGATGTACGTTGTTGCGTAACAACGTCATCACTATGAGATGAGCACTGCCAGATCCAGCTGTGCTGTAGGCTGAAATGTTGTTTTATTAATCCACAATGTTCTTCGCGCGTATAGCCTACTGCTGAAGCATATATGCTTATTTATTTTTTTACCTTGAGGCAAGTGGTACGGTACGGATCGAGGTTAAGGGCACTGTTTGTGTGTGCATCATGAGCTCACTACGAAAGTCGTCCACGCGCCGCGGTGTGGCGCTCTGCTGACCCGCAGGTCGCGGCCGACGCACTTTCGATGTATCGAAAATGATTGAGACCCCGTGTGCTTAGATTTAGGTGCAGTGTAAAGAACCCCAGGTGATCGAAATTTTCTTAGTCCTTCTCTACGGCCTCTCTTATTGTCATGTGACATAATTTTAAAACCTTAACCCCCCCCCCCCCCCCACAAAAAAAGATTATTATTAGGAAAGCAATCTACACAGGCGTCTAGTGGTGACTACACACTGAATAATATATGGTTTGACGTAACATCAGCACTCACGCTAAAGCACAGACGTCGGTATTGTCATAACGAAGGGTGCTTCACGGTGCGACATTGGTAAACACATGGTTAGAAAGAAAGGGTATCTTCATTCCGTCTGTTAACTGCCGTCTATGTGATGTGCCGGAAACGATTGAACATTGCTTTGTTAGCTGCAAAGACGCCATAATGTTTTGGGATGTCCTTCAGCGAGCACTGAAAAAAACGTTTCGTCATTAATTCTCACACAATACGTTATCTTCTGCCAGCAGTGCTTGATGAAGTACCATATGATATGTTTTTCCTCATGGGTTTGCACAGCTTGTCGAAGACACGAATGCAAGACCGCAATGCAGAGCCCACCACCTCTTCAAGCGCACACTTCATTCAAATGCCTAACCACCGAAAAAACATTTACGACGAGCTAGACTTTAGACCGGACTGGTACTCCGTCTTAGAGAACTGTTTGACCTCACCCCTTTTTTGTTTGTATAACACGATGTGAAGAACTCTCCATGTGAGGAACTCGCGCTGTGTTAGCCATTTAGTGTTTATGAGTAACGCTTGAGCGCTTACTTTGGCGATGTGATTGTACTTTTGTTCGCTTGATTTTGTCTTTATTGCGCAAGTAGTTTATTAAATACCATGAGAAAAAAAACGATGCGAATATGACAAGCAAAAATAAGGCGTGTCCAGGTAAAATCGAACATGAAGTCCTAGTCACCATTTCAGATATTGTGGAAATTTAAAGTGTGGCGCACTAAGCGAGAACAGTGGTTTCAAAGTTAGTTTTCTAAAAAAAATTCGTTCAACTGAAAAAATGGTAAACATTTTTAAGACCAAAAATGCTTTTCCATCAATTTCGCAATTTTGATACATTCAGTGCTTCTAAAGAAAATAACGGTGCGCTGGTAAATTACGGTAATTATTCTCGTCAAGGAAGAAGTTATCAACAATATTAAGAGTGAATTATTTTTCTTACCTGTTGAAAAACTTTACAGGAGAAAAAATCCCATGATAAGCCACACAATATATTTGCATCTCAGGAATTTATTGCTAGAAACAACTTAGGATGCGAATAATGGAACTCGGTATACGTGTTAACCTTGATACCTTCGCTTTCTTTTTAAACAACTTCAGCGTTTCACCACGTTTTATGGGCGTACTCGAAGTCCACATAACCTTCACACACGCAGAAGTCCCGCCTTGAGAAGAAACAGTTCGGGATACATTGTTTGGAGTGTCACCCCGTGGCACTGCGCACAATGTACTGTCATGTAGTCAGAAACGACATAGGGTTAGTTTAGCAAACAAAGTTTATTGGAACAAACTTGTGCTCCACAAAAGACTCAAGGGAAAATGCAAGCGGTTAAGGAATAAGGAACAGCCAGCCAAGCAACGCGCACAGGCGATCGTAGGCGGAACAACGCAGGTCACCCGTTCGTTTCAGTGCAAGCGTTTTTGCATCCGCGTGGAAGCACCGGAGAGTCAAAATGGCTGCCTCGTGTCGACAGTGACCGGGTGCAGACATAACATTCATCCCGTGATGACAGGGTGAAACTCTGTCCCTATCAGATCAGATATCATGTGTGGCGTACAAGAAATCTATGGGACAACCTGGCGGGACCAGATGCTGGAAACTAAACACATAAGGAAATAAATTAGAAGGCATGACTCGCAGCATTATCATCCCGAGAATGTCAGCGCAGAAAAACGCCGCCGACTAAACCCACCGCACAGCAGAAACCGATCGCCGCACCATCGCTCTTCCAACAAATCGGCGGAGTTCCTGGCCCGTACGTCACGGGCCGGGAACAAGTGGATTTTCACAGCCACTCACTACATGACACGCTACGCAGTGACCACCTAAAGAGACTGCTGAAGAAGTGGATTTTCACAACCACTGACTACGACACGCTACGCAGTGACCGCCTAAAGAGACTGCTGAAGAAGTGGATTTTCACAACCACTGACTACGACACGCTACGCAGTGACCGCCTAAAGAGACTGCTGAAGAAGTCGCCAAAATTTTCGTCCACCAAGCTGTGACTTGGAGCCCCTCAGGTCCTAATCGTGGTACGCGGCACGGCATTCACTGCAGAGCTCGTGCAAGGAGCTCGTGCAGACGAACGCACTAACCGAACGCCCGAACAAGACTATAGCGGACATGCTAAGTAAGTACGTCGACGTTGAGCATATGATGTGGGACGAGAACTTCCCTATCATGTTCGCATACAACACAGCTATCCAAGAAACTACGCAGATAACCCCGTTCGAGCTTGTCTACGGACGTGACTGACCACGATGCTAGATGCCATGCTTCCAAGCGTATAAAATATGACGACCTAAACACCGACTTCCAAGGCTACTTACAACGTGCAGAGGCAGGCCTAGCCGTGTGTCGGACGCAACAACCGCTGCTGCCGCGAAGCCAACTATCACCCAGGTGATCTTGTGTGGGTTCAGGACCCCAACTGCGGCGTCGCGGACTCGCTGAAAAGCTCCTGCGAAGATATTACGTTGAATTCTTAAGGGTCAGAAGACCCTACAGAATTCAACGGCGTGCTGGCCAACTAATCTACAAGGTTGTCTCCGATGGTAACTCCGGCACATCCCGACGACGTGCACAATCCGAAGCCGTCAGTGTGGTTCGCCTCAAGCCTACCACACGAGATGACGGACCTTTTTGGACGACCATTTCATAATTAGCATCTGGACGATGCCCAATTAGAGAGGCGGGGGAGGGGGTGCCTAATGCGGCAAGCTATCCTTGCGGTTTGTTTCCTTGTTAGTTTCTAATACCTGGCTGCACCAGGTTGTCTTATCAATGTCCGAAGGAGGGAAAGAGCGTGAGCTTGTAGTGCCATCATCATCACCATCATCATTTCTCAATCACCGCGCCGCGCCTCTCGCGCAGCTGATGCTAGCTCGAGCTGCGCGAGGATGAGAACAAGCTAGCGCACTTGGTGTGTCGGACGTGGACAGCCACCGCGGCTCCGTTTGAGGCGTGGAATAAAGTGGCGAGAGAACGACACGACCACGTTGACCGCCGTCTCGTCTTCCTCTCTCGCTACAGTCCAAGACGCTGCGACTATGACTGACGCGCTTGAGGACAACGTGCCCGGTCCGCTTCAGACAAGGCTCACCAGGCATACCACGCCCTCGGTGGAACAATCTAGGCAGTGTTGACTAGAGGCAGCCATCAATTATGCAGACCTGCACGCCAACCCTCGTGCGCGGACTACCGGAGGGTCCCATCCAATACTCCGGGCGAGCCCACGCTGACTGGGTTCCACCACCACCATTTCCCGGAGCGTTTGCCTCAGGACGGCAACAACCAGACGTGTGTCCCCAACGCCAGCTCGTGTGTCACAACCACGACGACACTCATACCTCATACGTGTCTACCACCCATTACCCTACGTCGGCGACGACAACGTGCTTGGCGTCACACATTGCGGCAACTTTTGAGCCGCCCTGCTACGCAGCCACGAGTTGCAGTCACAGCCCTGAAGACGGCGCAAGCGCCTACTCGGCCTATCGGACGCAATGTCCCACCACTAATCATGTACCCGACTAACCACCGTACACTTGGCGGCATTGTTAGGACACGTTCCTGCGTGCGTCGGCACGCCTATCTATACCGGCACGTCAGACGCCGCTCGACTTTGAGGGCTGTGTTGCGTCGACCCCAACGTCAAAACCCGCGCTGCCGACCCTCTGCCGATGTTAGCAGCATGACCTCGCGACACACGGTCCACTCTCGGCCGGTCCGACCAGGTCATCCTGAGACCCGCTTGTCGGCAACCACAGCGACCCGGCACTTCGTCCCTTGCGCTTCTCCCAGAGTCGCCCACCGGAGACACACTGCTTACCGATGGCCCATAAACGTTGACAACCTGGACTTGCCAAATGAACACTTTATGAATTGTCGTTCATGTATATAGCAATTGTCGCTCTCTTTCTTTTCTCATGTGCCTTCAAATTGCGCAAAGCGCTAGGGGGGGGGGGGGAGCCCTGTAGTGCCATAATCATCACCATTATCATTTCTCAATCACTGCGCCGTGCCTCTCGCGCAGCTGATGCTAGCTCGAGCTGCGCGAGGATGAGAACAAGCTAGCGCACTTGGTGTGTCGGACGTGGACAGCCACCGCGGCTCCGTTTGAGGCGTGGAATATTCCCGTCTTCCAGTGTCTTCCGGTGTCCTCTAACCGAAACGTTACCACTCGAGTGCTGCGAGCGGAGGAGAGGGCGAAGCGTCAGAGAGGTGACACGTACAGACTTGCTTCAGCGCGTACGTTAGGCGCGCAGCATGTTTATTGCGCGTGAACCGACGAGTCGGTGGTGTAGCGAGCGGCGGTTGCGGTAGCGGAGCGAATGCGCGGCAGGCGATGGAGACAGTGACGTCAGCGCCCACCGCAAGGGGAGCTTGACGTCACTCGTACGGAGGGACTGCTACACAGGATACTCAAACAGCTGCTTCGCATCTAAAAACTAAAGTAATTCGGCTGTTTAGGGAATGGTATTCGTAATTATGTGCGTGGGAATTGCTGTCGTGGTCACGCATGCTTCGCTCTACCGTGGCAGTGAGTCTGAAGACGATTGATGAGAATCTACTAAATTTAAAACTACGAAATCGTGGCCAATCCCCCAGAGTGGGTGTGTGCCATATTGTAAAAGGCTCAAACAAACAATTAATAAAGCGCGCATCGACTATGCCCCATGAGATGATGAGGAGGAGAAGAAGCGCGCTTGCGCAGGTCTCGAGCTGTAGGTCCCTATATGCGAAGATCGTCATCAGTGTACCAGCAGTAGCAGCTCCTAGACGACCAAGGTAGGACCTCGGAAGAATAGCTGAACGCCGAGGGTTTGCCGCGCAGCACAGCTGTACAGCAGCTACGCAACCGTATATGAGCCATGCAGCTCCTGTTCGCGCCCGCCCGCCCACTACGACAGTGGTGGGCTTCGAGGCGCTTCCCGCTATCCGCGCGTACGGAAACGGGTCGCCAACTGTGCCGCCTGGAAGACGTCCCTCCCGGGCAGTACACCAGCCCTCACATCCTGACGGGATACCGGCGTTGCCGCAGCCGCTACGAATGCCTCCGGAGCCTGCTACAGTGGCACAACGAGACGGTGAATATCTGGAGCAACCTGCTGCCGCTCGCGTACCTCCTCGCCCTCTTGGTTCAAGACAACGCCGGAGGCCGCTTCGCTGGCGCGGTACTCTGGCAGCGAGTCCTGGTCACCGTCATGACGCTCTCGTACGCCGCCACGTTGTTCCTGTCGGCCGCGTACCACACGCTCAACTGCATGTCCGAGTCTCGCGCCTGGTACCGGCTCGACTTCGCTGGCGTCTGGCTCAGCATCGTCGCCTACGTCGTGGGATTCGCGGCGCTCCAGTTTCGCGGCTCCTGGCGCTTGGCGCACGTCGTGGGCGCCCTCATCGCCGCCGGCCCTTCGTTCGTGCTCGCCGCGTCGTCCCGGTACGTAGACCGGCACTACGACGCGGCCAGGGTCCGAGCCATGGGATGGTTCTCGCTCTACAGCATGCTCCCACTGGCGCACTACGCCCTTTTCTACGGCAACCCGGCGCTCGTGGCTCGCACGTTGCCCGGTCACGTGACCGTGCTGTTGCTCCTGGCCCTCTCGCTGTGCGTCTTCGTGACCAGGTTTCCCGAGCGGAGGTGGCCGGGCAGGGTGGACTACCTGGGCTCGAGCCACCAGATCTGGCACGTGGGCGTCGGCATCTGCGTACTCCTGGCTCACAGGATACAGTTGGCCTACGTGACGCCGCTCTAACCAACATGCCCCAGCTGCCGCATCGACGAACAGTGTTTCGCGGCGTGTCCGTGAGAACGAGAGTTCGTAATAGACGTTTTGTACTTTTCGCGAACCCTGCGTTCTCCGGCTGTTTGGCCGGACGTGCATTTAGCTCCGAAGGCCAGAGTTCGAGGTGATGGCACGGGCTTTCGCGGCTACGTTGCAGCTGTGTCTATTGTTGTGTATGTCATGGAATCGCGACGAAAAATTAGCTTAGAGTCACTAATTTATGTCTAAGTATATCGCAAAGCATATTTGAAGTGGTACTGAATCTAAGACAAGTCTTTTGGTAATTCCTAAATTGTCTTTCGGTAATTCCTAAATGGTACACTGACATCAAAGCCCCAATTGCTACGTATCGTGTATTAACAAATTTGTAAAATGCTCTATGAGAAGTTTTTCAAAGTACCGTGTTGCGACTCGTGTCGCTGTCACAGCTGTTGGGTAATGCGTGTCTTAGTTCGTGGCTTCTTCTGCCCAGAGCTGATAGACGGAGTGGTGGTGTGTTGAGGCAACATTTATGTACAGCATAAATAGAGGTGTTACATATTCGGCACCGGTGCCGACAGCATAAGGAGCTCGCACTGATGTGCGACGAAGAGCCGGGATGTCTTCAGATGCTCTCGGACGCTCTTATGCTTTCGTCTGCAGCTTGTAGTCCCACCACTTGGTTCTTTTGTAGGCCCTGGGAACGCTTATGTCAGTCAGGAACCACCGAAACGTAATTCTGCCAAGTCCCTTGGGGATACCTTAGCCCACCAAAGCCTTGGTGAAATATACGACCATCCACCGCTGCTGTGGTAAGCAGAGACGTGCTGCCGCCAGGCGTCTGGAGAAATTGGTACAGGTGCACTTCAGGCCCGGCAGAACGAAGTTCATTTAGTCACTCTCCGTGGGAAAGCGACATGTGACCACCAGACCTATGAGTGGGTCTCACCCCCCCCCCCCCGCCGTTTTTTTTTTACGTGACAGCTGTAATGAGAACGCAAGAGTCACGTGCGCCGTATATAGTTGTCCACCGCCACTGGTATTTGTAACTACTATCGCGTGAAAGAAAAAAAACTAAGTAAAAAAAAAAAACACATGGTAGCTTCTCCTGCAACTACTGCGTCACGCTGCTGCTTGAAATCCCGTTCCAATCTGGGCTTGGGGAGGCTTGAAGTCGGGAAAAGGAATCACGTCAATATGAATATAATAAAGCGTTTCAGAACAGCAAAATAACAGCGAGGTGTCGCACAATACGAATTGCGTAACGAGTGAGTGAAGTTTGTGATGCCCCTTTCTCACCGCTGTGAACCGAGAAAGCCGGCTCTCGTATCTCGCTGCTGAGGTGAAATTATGGGATATATGATCAAATATGGGCCATCCAGCGAGCACGGGAGGCGGCTGAGAGACAGGGTCTCTCCACCGCCCCTGGTGCGGCTTAGGCCCACGCCTCAATCCGCTGGTTAAATAAAGTTTGCTCACTCACTCATGTAGTCCGTTTATTCACGATGCGCACTCGGCGCGTTACAAATTTCCTCTCTCCCAAAACGCTCCCCACGCGTCTGTCAAAAAAAAATAAAAAATCACTGCTTCACGGAGTTTTCTCAAGTTCGTGTGTGGTGCTCTCGAGCGTATATAGGTCACGTTCGCACGGATGCCTTCAGTGATCGGGATCTGCAGCCGCGTAGTCGTCGGCTCATTTAGTACAGAGTGGCAGTCCGTGGCGAGGCCTTGAAGACGCGTACATTGGAGCCCCGTGCTGATTGTGCAGATGCTATAGCTGTCGTTGCTGTCAGAGACCCTCGCAATGGCTTGCGCCCACCGCCCGGTCTTACAGGCCGCTGACAGAGATGATGATGATGATGTCCTAAATTCATGGCTCACACTTACTCTGAGGGATTGGCCAAGAAACGAGTAATTAGAGAAAGGTGATCATGGAGATGTTCCGGCCAACAACATGCACTATGCGTTTGCGAAGGCGCAGCTTCCAGGAACACGCCGCCGAAGGCAGTCGATACTGGGGCCGACCCCGGAATTCACCCGCAGCTGTTTTTTTTTATACGAGTCGCAGTCGCCGCTTCACCCGTTACAAGTGATGATGACGATGTTAATAATAATAATAATAATAATAATAATAATAATAATAATAATAATAATAATAATAATAATAATAATAATAATAATAATAATAATAATAATAATAACCTAACAGCATACCTCACACCCACTCTGGGAGATTGGCCATGAAAAGAAAAAAAATTTCAGACGTAATTCTTCATCGTCGTCAGTCACAGCATAAAAAATGCACAAAATTCCTTGCAAGTACATATATAGCGGGTATCACTCTTCCCTCCGAAGAATGACAAAGGATGGCATAGTGGCTTGACCGCTTGCTCAGCAACAATTTTTTGTTTATTGGCAGTTTTATCTCTAAACAAATTTTTCAGTCTGGCTTCATTTTCATTTTAGTTTCATTTAAGTATCCTGCCGCCCGGTTCTTGGCCCATCCCCCTCTGTGGGTGAGCGCCATCCATCTGGGGTCATCAGCATAATAATGAATGCCGTCTCTAACAAACAAAAGTTAGGATGATTTATGGCGCACTGTGCTTTATAGCAATTACCCAAAGTGTGTTTAACAAAGGCTAGCCGGCTGTGACTGTGTCGCGCGTTCCATGCAGGCCTGCCGGGTTTTCTTCTTTTCGCTGAAAAACACACTGTGCACCATCTCCCTGCACCAAATTCAAGAAAGCCCGGTCAACTCGGCTCGTTGGTATGTGAAAGTCTGTGCCGCGGAGTTTTGATCCTATAACTATACCGGTTGTCATAAGTCCACATTAGACGATTCTCCTGTCGTGGCTTCCGACTGGGATCAATTCGCGGTTTCAACCACGGCTTCACAGATTCAAGACGTCCGATTCTTCCGCTTGCTTCGTACAAGTGAGGTTGCCTCGAGAAAGGGTTTCGATAATATGCCTCGTGTATCTAGCTCCGACCCGGAAATACAAATGTGGGTCACGGAGCGGGCCAAAGGCAGCTGCCAGGGACCGAGGTCTCCTGGCCGCCTGACCAGCAGTGGACACTAGCGCGCTGAACGTTAGCTCCATGCACATGGCGCCAAGTAAATGCCTCTTCTCATCCTCCTCCTAAAGCGGTCGGTTCCCGCCTGTTGTGCGCTAGTGATCAATCCACAATTTTGCATTGTAAGTCTTTCTGAAAATTATATAAACTGTCGGGGTATCGAACATTGAAACGATGCACTGCATGGATCAACTGACAGGAACGACACGCGAACACGAAACGGATAAGGACCGGAACGGACAAGGTTCATGTGTCAATCGTCTCAGTTGTTCTATGCGGCGCATCGTTTCACTTATCAATGCCATACCAGCTGGCCCCCTGTGGAAGCACCACTAAACGACACGGAACACTTGCACTATATAACTCCATGTCAGTGATTCGCCGCGAACGGCGTTTCAGTTCCTTTGGCGGTTTAACGCTGCCGACGCTTAACAGCTCAGAAAAGTCTCATTCATATTTCATCATCATCATTAACATCAGCCACATTATCAACAAAGTGTGCAGCGATGTAGGTGCAATTATTAAAAGAAGCGTTTCTTAGCGAACTGCAGTCACTTTGAGCGTATCTATCTATCTATCTACCTGTCTATCTACCTGTCTGTCTGTCTGTCTGTCTGTCTGTCTGTCTGTCTGTCTGTCTGTCTGTCTGTCTGTCTGTCTGTCTGTCTGTCTGTCTATCTATCTATCTATCTATCTATCTATCTATCTATCTATCTATCTATCTATCTATCTATCTATCTATCTATCTATCTATCTATCGATCTATCTATCTATCTATCTATCTGTCTGTCTGTCTGTCTGTCTGTCTGTCTGTCTGTCTGTCTGTCTATCTATCTATCTATCTATCTATCTATCTATCTATCTATCTATCTATCTATCTATCTATCTATCTATCTATCTATCTATCTATCTATCTATCTATCTATCTATCTATCTATCTGTCTGTCTGTCTGTCTGTCTGTCTGTCTGTCTGTCTGTCTGTCTGTCTATCTATCTATCTATCTATCTATCTATCTATCTATCTATCTATCTATCTATCTATCTATCTATCTATCTATCTATCTATCTATCTATCTATCTATCTATCTATCTGTCTGTCTGTCTGTCTGTCTGTCTGTCTGTCTGTCTGTCTCTCTGTTTATCTATCTATCTATCTATCTATCTATCTATCTATCTATCTATCTATCTATCTATCTATCTATCTATCTATCTATCTATCTATCTATCTATCTATCTATCTATCTATCTATCTACATCTGGGTGCTCTCGTGATCGCTTCTTTAACTTAGGGTAGACAAAAATTAGTATGGGTGAGTAAGCAGCTTTGACGAATATGTGTGGCTGGTCACGACATGTATAACGTGAAAATTCCGTCACGTACGTTGTTGAACCCTTTCCCCTCAGACACGTGTGGCACATATCCGTATACCACAGACTGCAGTATGTGGGCATGTGCCAGCGGTTTTCGACTGTTAATATCTACCCAGAAACGGCGAAAACAGACAGCGGTCATTTAAGTGTGAGACTGTTGCCCAACTGCGAATCATAAAAGAGTTTCAGCCGGAACCAAACCAAAGCATTGCCGCATATGCGATTTCCTAGACGAAACAAAACGAATGAAATAATTGAATGTTACGCTTAGGCATAAATTCACTCTATTAACTTGTTGGGCTTTTTTAAAATGCGAAGCATTTCTTGGCAAACTTCGGCGACTTTGAGCGTATCTATCTATCTATCTATCTATCTATCTATCTATCTATCTATCTATCTATCTATCTATCTATCTATCTATCTATCTATCTATCTATCTATCTATCTATCTATCTATCTATCTATCTATCTATCTATCTGTCTGTCTGTCTGTCTATCTATCTATCTATCTATGTATCTATCTATCTATCTATCTATCTATCTAT